CAGTCATTGATGGAGCTTCAGCAATCCCTGATGACGGTCCATCCAGGTCATGACGTCACTTGTCTTTCGCACTGGTTCCCATCCTCTTCTTCTCTTCTTGTTATTATTATTCTCTCTTTCTCTCGCTCTCTCTCTCTCTTTCTTTCTCTCTCCCTTTTTTCCCCTTTTGTTTTTGTTTATATCTGTCTCTTGTATATTTAATCACCTCTTATCTCAGGGTCTGTGTTTGTGTCTGAGTCGAGATTTGGCTCACATCTCAAGTTTTATTCTAACTTTCCATTCCTCTCTTTCCTTTATTTGGTTTCATGAAGGGGACTTTGAGACGAATCAAGTTATCAAGTTCGCATGTTTAATTAAGCCCGAAATACAGGAGTCAAAAAGTTCGTTGAGCTAAACACCTAATGAGAGAAGACTGTTCGGTGAGACCATTAGCATAAAATATTACCCCGGAAAGTTATTGTTAAGGAAGTCTTCGTTTGGGATGGAAACAACATATACATTCCATTCTTCGCAAATATCTCTTTATTCTGTTTATTTTTTATTTACCAGAGCACTTGCACTCACTATTCAAAAAAAGGGTATGTGATAATTTATGCAGATCGAAAGGAGAATGAAAAAAAAGGGGTGCTCCACCTGGTCAACTTAAGTAATCACCGGGAAAACTTACGCTCAGTCTCTCTCCTCTCCTTCTCCTTTCTCTCTCTCTCTCTCTCTCTCTCTCTCTCTCTCTCTCTCTCTCTCTCTCTCTCTCTCTCTCTCTCTCTCTCTCTCTCTCTCTCTCTCTCTCTCTCTCTCTCTCTCTCTCTCTCTCTCCACTGCTAGCACTGGAGCGAATCCACCCGCGCGCCCACACACTCCGCCGCTCTGGCAAGGACTGAGTGACTCTGGGCCTGGCTGCCTCCCTCGCCTCCCTCGTTCGCCTCCGCCTCCTGGCCCGCCGACCCGCTCCTCGCTCGCCGCCGCTCGCCCATCGTTCCTTCAGGACAGACAGGGACCCGCTCGGTGGCTATGGGCTGCGGCTTAAGGCGCTGGGGAGGAGGGCAGGATTTTCCGATTTGGGGTTTGTCCTCGAGTGAAAGGGTATTTTTCTGTTCGTTTCTTGTTGTGTGGTTCTGGCTGTGTTTTAAGTTTTCTGTTTGTTTCTTTGTATGTATGTTTCTTTCAATGTGTGGTTGTCTGTTTGTCTGTCTGTCTGTCTGTTCCACTCTCTCTCTCTCTCTCTCTCTCTCTCTCTCTCTCTCTCTCTCTCTCTCTCTCTCTCTCTCTCTCTCTCTCTCTCTCTCTCTCTCTCTCTCTCTCTCTCTCTCTCTCTCTCTCTCTCTCTCTCTCTCTCTCTCTCTCTCTCTCTCTCTCTCTCTCTCTCTCTCTCTCTCTCTCTCTCTCTCTCTCTCTCTCTTTCTCTCTCTCACCGTTTGTGCCTCTCTCTTTCTCATTTTAGTTTATGATATTAGCAAACCCATAGGGAAAAATACATTTTCATTTCATTTGATCATATCCCATTCCCTAAATTTCGGTAAGTCACATCCCCTCTCTCTTTATATATGTAAATAAATGAATAACAAAATACATTATATTTATACATACATACATACATGCATACGCACACACACATGCACACACACACGCATATATATGTATATGTGTATATATGTATATATATATATATATATATATATATATATATATATATATATATATATATATATATATATATACATATATACATATATATGTGTATGTGCATATGTATATAACAGATAGATACATCGATATATAGATAAATAAATAGATAAGCACCAGGTTATTCATCTCCTCTCTCTCTCTCTCTCTCTCTCTCTCTCTCCCTCTCTCTCTCTCTCTATATATATATATATATATATATATATATATATATATATATATATATATATATATATATATATATCTTCTTCTTCTTCTTCTTCTTCTTCTTCCTCTTCCCTCTCCATACTGTCTCTCTCTCTTTCTCTTCTCTCTCTCTCTCAGATCAATGAAACTTTCAGAACTATAGCAACTATAAACAATCGATCCACTGACGTAACTGGCTGTGACTGCCTTGACATCTTCCCAGTTCGCTTTAATTGACAGTAAGTGTCAAACTAACAGGGTTTTCGCATCAATAACTGCCCGGTGTCTTGGGGTTAAGGGAGAGGCTTAGATTTCGATAAATCTGAAAGAAAAAAGAACACTTCCCTTTTCTCCCTCTTTCTCTCATTATCTCCCATTCT